TTAATTTAAATTTGTGTTATTATATTTGATAGGTTGTTTAAATACCTACATTGTATATTAAGGTTATTTTGCTCTTGCTCACCATTTTTTTTTAGGGGCCTCCGTGGCCGAGTGGTTAAAGTCGCTGACTTGAGATCACAGGTCCCTCACCACTGTAGGTTCGATCCTCACTCGAGTCGAAATCTTTCATGTGAGGAAGCCATCCAGCTGGCTTACGGAAGGTCGGTGGTTCTACCCAGGTGCCCGCTCGTGCCTGAAATAATGCCCGGAGGGGCACCTGGGGTCTTCCTCCACCAGTAAAGCTGGAAAAAATCGACGAAAAATCTCGGCGGGACGCTCTAGATGACCCGACTTGAGTGTACGGTCGCCCATATGGGCTTTCCGGCGGCGACCTTAAATAAACGAATTAAAAAAAAAAAAATGCTCACCATTCTGTTACTTATTTCGTAGTAAGTCTTTTTGCCCACCCACCCAAGGCCATTTGGTTTAGCAATAAGTTTTATTGCATTTAGTTATATTAGTACTGCGTTTTGGTAAATATATATAATGATTAGTAATTCTTTGTGGATTGATTAATATATCATTCTATAGTTTATTAGTGTTAAGCAAGTTTGCAGTTATCTAGTGATAATTCGTGATCATTTATTAACCTAATTAAATATTATTATTGATATTTTTCTGTCTTGGTTTTTCTCTTTTAAATCTTAAATGAATAATAATTTTAGGACTATCTTCTGAATTACTGAAAAAAGTAAAATTAAATGTCTGTGTTTCTGTATATTTTTCATCTTTTGTAGCATTTACATTATTTTGTGCTGCTATCTAGTCTATGTTTATAATTATATCTTCTTAACGCAGAAAGTCCACCAGTAAGGTATCGTTGTCTCTGTATCTTTACTCTTAATTTAATTATATTTTATTGCTTATATAAATTCTAAATATACACAGTAATAACATATTTTAGAAATAATAATTAGCAAAACAAGTCTGGCCGAAGTTCTTACAACATTAGCGATCGGCCCTCTCCCTTTTCTTTCACACCAATCAGTAAGGTAGATTACCTTCAAAAATCTCCTGATTACTAAGTATATTGCTGCAACCGCTGGTGGCAAGATGTCTATATTTAATTACTGGTATTAGTTTTCAACATCAGAAATTTGGTGTTCGTATCTCTTAGTGATCTTGTGTTTTTCTGTTTTATACGCCGATTTCAAAAGCTTGTTTTTTTGCAGTCGGCCCATCCAGCAGATTTTCCTAGATAACATGTATACCGTGAATGGTAAGCAACTCTGGCTAACCGCAGAGTTAGCAATGTTAAAGTATCATTGAGAATGAACTACATGCATTTAAGTATTTGATATAACTATGATTTCCTCAAGTTCGTTTTTTCAAGCAAATACTCGACACTAAAACTGAACTATGAGGATTGTTGATAAATTATTGAAAACAAACATGCAGTGCGTGTACTCATGCAAACTATGGTGGAAACATATCACATAAAGGAATGTCTGATACGGGAATCAATGGCCAGGATACAGACGTGATTTATTAGTAAAGTCGCTCTCCCTTTTACTTTCCTTTCATATCTTATAGTTTATATCATTATATATTTAAGCTCGAGTGTTGAGAAAGTTAATATTTTATTAAAGGCATACTGTGCCCATCCTTGAGTTTAATATTTTAATCACAGAAATTTATTGAAATCTATGAAATTTTTACTGAAAACACAAAATGTATGTCTAATTTGAATAAAAGAATAATAAATTGATGTATTGGAAACTGTTATCTCTATTATAGGTTACGTGAAGTTGGTAAAGAACTTTTAAATGTTGAGAATTGAGCTAGTACTGTTGTGCTAAGGACGTGAGGGAAAGCTCTTTGAGATATCAACATAAAACTTCATGGGTGGATCGATCTCACTCAGGAGGTATGCAGCACACAAGAATGATAACTCTACCTGCATAATTTTTGAGTTATTGCCCTTTGTTATTTTTCAAACTTAATGTTTGTCCAGAGCATAACTGAAAAAGCTCTTTGAGATATCAGCATGAAACTTCATTGGTGGATAGATCTCACTCAGGAGGTATGCAGTGCACAAGAGTGATAACTCTACCCTTCATTATTTTTGAGTTTTTGCCCTTTGTTATTTTTCATACTTATTTTTTCACCTGAGTGGAGCATTATTCAAAAAGTCTTTGAAATGTCAACATGAAACTTCATAGGTGGATAGATCTTATTGAGGAAGAATGCTGTGCACCATAATGATAACTCTACCCTTGATAATTTTTGAGTTATTGCCCTTTGTAATTTTTCATACTTTTTGTCTGGAGCTTATCTCAAAAAGCGTTAGAGTTCTAAACTTGAAACGTCATAGATAGATCATATTGAGGAGGAGAGCAGCACACAAGAATGATAACTCTACCCTGCATAATTTTTTAGTTATTGTCCTCTGTTATTTTTCAAACTTAATTTTTGTCCAGAGCATTACTCAAAAAGCCTTTGAGATATCTACATGAAACTTCATGGGTGGATATATCTCACTCAGGAGATGTGCAGTGCACAAGAATGATAACTCTACCCTTCAAAATTTTTGAGTTATTGCCCTTTGTTATTTTTCATTCTTAATTTTTCACCTGAGTGGAGCATAACTAAAAAAATGTTAAAGGTATCACTTTGAAACTTAATAGGTGGATAGTTCATATTGAGGAGGAGTGCAGCACATAAGAATGATAAATCTACCTGCATAATTTTTGAGTTATTGCCCTTTGTTATTTTTCAAACTTAATTTTTGTCTAGAGCATAACTAAAAAAACCTTTGAGATATCAACGTGAAACTTCATGGGTTTATATATTTCACTTAAGATTTATGCAATTTTTGAGTTATTGCCTTTTGTTATTTTTCATACTTAATTTTTCACCTGAGTGGAGTATAACTCAAAAAGTCTTTGAGATGTCAACATGAAACTTCATAGGAAGATAGATCTTATTGAGGAGCAATGCTGTGCACAAGAATGATAACTCTACCCTTGATATTTTTTGAGTCGTTGCCCTTTCATACTTTATCTCAAAAAGTGTTAGAGGTATCAACTTGAAACTTCATAGGTGGATAGATCTCATTGAGTAGGAGTGCAGCACACAAGAATGATAACCTACCCTGCATTATTTTTGAGTTATTGCCCTTTGTTATTTTCAGCTATCAGTAATCACATAGGTTTCAAATTTATGATCACTTCAGCCATTAGTTTTCATCTTTAGACATCTTTTGATTGAATTATTCTGCGCTACTACACGAACATTTTTAAAATAAGCAAAAACATTCGGCGGGGGATGGCCATGTGAACATGGCTCTTGTTGTTATGGACATTCCTTCATATTAAGTACAATGAAATACAAATATATCGAATTTTCATCATTTTTTGTATTATCTTATTTTATTGAGTTTGAAAATGAGTTGAGTACTTAGGTGTAAATTGCGGCATGTCTCAATTTTTTACTTTTTCTTGAGACGACTAAATGATAGCGATATTGTAACTTAAATATTCAAGCGATTGTATCTTTTTATCATAATATGATATGAGTATTTAAGATAAAGTGATATTTCCGTGATTTTATTTTCTACGGAAATTTTCTCGAGCTTTGTTGAAAACAGAATCCCACAAAAATGTTAAATAAGGAAGTTGAAAACAATAAAGATCACAAGTTAAGTAACAGATCTTATTTCCTTATGGGTTTTACTCTACACTTTGTGATTTTTTTATATTCAATAATTCCTGTTGTTTTCATGACTGTAGGTGAAAGTAATTATTATCCGTTTGTAATGACATCTTCCCCGCCCCCCCCCCCCCTCCTTTGTTAAAACAACTATCTTTAAGGTTTTAATATGTAGTTCCAGTTATTGACAATATATTTTATGATAAAAATGATTGTTTTTATTAAAATGTTAGATCCAATTTTAATCCTAACGCATAATTCAGCAATTTATGAGCTGGTTTTAATCAGAACGGACACGACCGATAAGCTGCAATTTCTTTTCTTATTTTTTGTTAATAGACGGTCATTGGTCCTTTACTCTATTGTTGAGGATCTCTTTTAGATTGCCTCTCTCTATTAGGCAGTGCGTGGAAAAACCTCCGTTGACTGATATGTAAGACGTTCTTATACATTCTCGGGCACAATTGTACCACAAAGTAAAACAATTTTCACCATTGAGGCTGATGAGGCTGAGGAGTTGCCTTCAACAGTTAGGGGATCAGAATTGCAACCCACGTTTGTTTATCCCTGCGTGATCGAAATAGGCAAAGAAATGGATTCAAATTACTGGAGTCTATGCATATCCTAGCTTCAGCAGGTAAGGTGGTTTAGACCCCTGTTATAACTTCATGTTTGTAACACCCGACATTAGCCAAAATCGATTTGGCGCCACAATCATGAACTAAATTGTGTTGGAAACCGTAAAACCAAACCGACAAAAAGTCAAACAATGTTGGTTCGAAACTGTATAAAAATCACAGAACATATATAATAATGCATATATAACTATATAAGGCACGGGATACGCAACATAGCATAACATATTTGGAACAGAGAAAGGCCTGAGTTAAAAATGTTTTGGATATATTCCTTATAATTTACTGGAATACCCATTAAAGTGGGTTTCATATGACATCAAGTCAACGTTTTTATTTCTCTTTCGGTCAATAAACCTTATACTTATGTATATTTTCCCCATGAAATCTATTTTTACCTAAACACAACATTGCAATGTCATTTGAATGTGGTTTGTGCAGTTGTGTCCATATATGGTAGTATTAAATTATACTATAATAAGTTTAAAAAGTAGATCCTGGATGTAAGCCAATACATCTTATAATAAGTTTCCTTCTAGTTTGTAGATGACGTGATCTTTATCAGAGGGACTTTCTTAAAAAAGGTAGAGAAAAAAACCAAACAAACAAGTTTCTAAACAACTTTTTTTAATTTATTTAAGATTCCGCCTATTTAAAAAATGTTAAAAGAACATGTGCAATTTAACAGTTTTGTTGTTTTAAATTATCTGCATCTGTTTCCAAAATATAAATAAATGGAAAAGACATTTAATAAAAAATTAAGTGAAAATTTGGATGTTATAAAAAAGAAAGTATACCATTTAATGGTGTGCTTTACGACTGTTTAAATAATCTAAACTCAATGAATTTTTTTTTTCATTAAAACATTCTTTAACATTCAAGTTGATGGTAATGCAATTTAATGTCAACGCAAAATAATAGAAAATCAGAACAACTTAAACATGAAGCTAATGTGACATAATGACAATTCAATATGAAGGTAATGCAAAATGATAATTATTACTTAAACACGAAGCTTGTCAGGAGAAATGACTGCCTTGATGTTATTTAATCTAAGGAAAGATTTAGTAAAAAATACTAGAACCGATTTCCAAGATATGGGGGCTGGGCAGCACCGCCTGACTTAAAATTGAAATATTCTCAATTGGAGAACTAGCATGTAATTGTTTAGTTAACACTATTTTTTTTTAGGTATTTTATCTTTTTCTATCTCAAATCCATATATACATTTAAACAACAAACTCTTGTTTATTATTTACACCCAAAACAAAAACACGTCATTTATCAACCACTTATACGAAATATCTTTTCACGTATACGTTTGTTATATACGAAACAATACTAGACACCTGCATTTCTCTCGTATAAGAAAAAAAACGAAGTGACTTTCAATAACGATTCTCATTCAATTATGCTCAAGCTTTGGCAGGTAATGGAGGACGCATTGTATGTGTTGCATTTGTCATGACCATACTGGTCTTTTCTTTTATTTACCGTAAAACTTCAAACAGTTTTCTGATTCAGTAAGCGTGAGAGAAGCTTACAAATATGGATACTTGCTACATTATTTCTTGCTCTGACTTGAAGAGAACGAATGTAACATTCCAATGCTTCCTGATGTCTCTCTTCTTGTTCCTGACATTGTCCAAGTAGGTTTAGAGCTGTTTCTTTGTGCCAAAGATATTTAATACGTTTATCCATCTCAATTGTTTTAGAAAGGTTATCCAGTGCATGCTGTTTTTCCCTTTGTCTTCGAAGACGACTGTAAGCTTTGTATTGTAGGAAGTAAAGGAAAGGTAATGGGTCAACTACAGCCCAATCCATCCAACAGTCAAATGGACCTCTGTGGAACATCCCATCATGTGTAGATCTGTACATTTCATATTGTAACTCTTGAGGAACACAGTAGATTTCCTGTGGTATAAATCTAACACAAAATGCTGTAATATCTTTGATACAGTCTTCATTTTGTTCTGTGCATACTCTTCCAAAGTCATCAGTTACTACTCTAACAGCATGTTCCCAACAGGCACATATAGGTAAAACAGGATGAGAGTAATAGTGGTGTTCAGTTTGTCTCAGTATTTGTTCAGCTTTATTCAAATCTCCTGTACTGTAGACTACTGAAGCCAGTTTAAGTCTGCTAGATGAATTGTCTGAGTTAAAACCAGCTGAAAGCCACACCAATGCTTCAGGTGACACTTGATTTCCTTTACCAATGCTGGATGATGCTAGGACAGTTCCATATGTTGTATACAGAAAAGGTGCAAAGATCTTAAAGGCTGCCTTTTCTAATCTTTGACCATTTACACTGTAGCTTATTAGATTTTCTGTATATTGCCTCAATGTGCTAACGCCTGTATCATTGAATAAATGAACATGTTTCAAAACGTTTTTGTAATGTAAACTTATTTCGTAAGCAAGGTTGATGTACTGGATAGCCGAAAGACTGTCACACATTTTAAAAGAAGACTGGAAATTATACGCTCTTTGTGGTACTAAATTCAGTTGAACTTGCAGTCTGCGTCCAAGGTCATCAATATCAATTCTTAACAACATTTGTCCATCACTCTCCATAAAATCACTGATATTTTTGGAAAGCAATTGTCTTGTCTCATCTGTAAATTGCCCTGCCATCAAATTATTTTCATGTATAATGAAATGTGACAAATGGTCATTCTGAACACAACTGTGCAATTCCAGTAAACAGTATGTTAAACATGTAAATAAATTGTTCTCTTTCCATGTACTTGAATCTGTGCTTTCTATACAGTGTAATAGAACTGTTTTACACATAAAACTTGATACATTAATTTCACCTCGAGGATTCAAGAAAGATTTCAGAATCATTTTCAATAAAACATAGCATCTTATTTGTGTTATATTTAAATCGAACATTAGACATCTTTCAGCTAGGGATGTAGATATTCTCCATTCCAGTTCAGGATATAAACTGACTTTACTTCCGGTTGGAACAACAAAACATCCTGTTCTGGCTGCAGATCTTCTCATCTCATGTGTCGGCCATTCCCCTAAACCCTGTCTCTCTAACCAACCTGATGCTGATTGAGGCCATGAATTACAAAGTAAAGCTATCACTACATCTTTATCCAGCATTGTATACTTTCCTTGTAAAGCAATGGATGGTCCATGCCTAGAACCCTGAAGAATACCGAAATCTATCATACTGTTCTTAAGCAACATTCTTCCTCCTAGACAACCAACCGTTTCATTGTCTCCAAAAGGTATGACAGGCATAGGAAGAGGTTCATCAGGTCGGAGCAGTTGTAGGAAACAATACCCAGGGGTTGTGTTCTCATCTTGTATCATGAGGTAGTTTTCTTTGCCATATTCCCACTCTGACCAGTCCTGTATGATATTGTGACTGTGATAACAGAAAAGTGTATCTTTGTCTGATGTAAGTCCTATAGTAGTAGCACCTTCACTCTGACTCCCAAGATTGAAGACAGTTGCATTAGTACCAATTGTCCTGCATGCAATAGTTTGAACAGACTCGCTTAGTAATTGTGATCTTCTTCTTTTCAACACCCCTCCTTCATTCACCCCAATATCATTGAACACCTTCGTTAAGCTCAGCGATAAATATTCTCTATCTACCGACATTTTGCATTCTGTAAAATAAATTTCAAATTGTATTATTTTGTATGTAGTCTTCTTGTGTTACAGTCAGACATAATTATGTTCTTGGATAAAGAAAGATACATATTGAGAATATACATGTATTTCAAAAATATTTTAAGTGTTGTGTTGATACCTTTAAATGTGCTACATTTTAATTTTTGCACGACAACAGCTTCAACGGCGAGCCTGTGGTCATAATTATAGCTCGCCATTTTCTTTAAAACAGACAGGATGAAAATATTAATTTAAACTCTTTTTTTCCCTGTCAAAACATATTCTTGTACTTTATCTCTCATGTACACTTCACAATAATGAGGTGCTTTTTGGGAGTTTTTCTCTATAAATTGAGAAAATTGGTGCACGAATATGAGAGAAATGAAACACTGTAAAATCCGATTAAATATGTACATGTAATGTAAAAAAAATATTCAAACCAACATTTTCTAATGTTAAAGGAAACTTTAATACTTGAAAGGTGCTTAATATGTGTAAGATAGAACTTTAAAAGTATTTGGAGTAGTATCTGCAAAACACGTCTTTTGTGGTTCATATTACATTAGGTAACCTGAACTTCTTAAATGACATTGATCTGCGTTCTGTTTTGGAAATGGCAAATATCAATTTTTGGGGATTTAATGAGGACAATAGTACATTGATTTTTCCTTATATCGCTGATCTGAACATAAATGCCCTTAATAACAAGGAACAATAATTATTGTTAACTCTGAACAAAAAGCAGATATAAGGTCTATTTTTTCAAATTTAAAACTGGTATCACAAAATTAATATCTGCATCATAAAATGTTTTCATTTAAAACAGTGACTGGTTGAACAGTGACTGACTGAAATGGAAAAGCAATTATTGGTATGACAGTCACTAGTTGTTGTCGAAAGTCAATGAATACTGTGAAAGCTAAGAAAAGTCAATGGTTGCTATGAATCAGAGTTGCTACGGAAAACAATAGTTGCTAAGAAAAATAGAAAGTAGCTATGAAAGTCAATTGTTACTATGGAAAGACAGTGCTTAATATGAATGTCACAGGTTGCTATAACACAAAATGGTTGTTAAAGAAATCACTTGTTGCTATGGAAGTCACTGCATCAGAAAGTAGATAGTTGGAATTAGGAATTCTCTGGATGCTAAGGAAAGGCAATGTTATTGAAGTCAATGACTGCAATGTCAATGGTTGCTATAGTAATAATTAGTTGTTATAGAAAGTCAATAGCTGCTCTGGAAATCACTGGTTGTTATGAAAGTTACCGGTTTCTTTCGTAAATCAATGGTTGTTGTTAAAGTCATTGGTTGTTATTGAAAGTCAATTGTTGCTATTGAAATTTGTTGTTGCTATGGGAAGTCAACGGTTGCTATGAAAGTCACATGGTTTCTGTGGTGGTCACTGGTTGCTGTGGAAAACCTATGGTTGCTATATTTTTTTTAATTTCGATACAATTATTATAATAGCAAACAAAAAGCTATCAAAATCACCATTTGCTAACGATTCACTGGCGGCTGAGACTGGACAACATACGCCTGATAGCATATTTACAAGAATTATCAGAGACAAAATGTTTCTAAAAGCGAAATTGTAAATGGCACCGATTTATACATTTCGTCCGAATAAAAAAAAACTATACAGTCTATTTTTGAGGTAACAAAATAACAGATTAGAAATAGAAGATAATGAAACTTCAAATTTGTAATAAGTTGTTTGCAGAGAAAATCAACGTGATATAAACACAATTATTGAAATCTTGCAATCCTCAGAAAACGGTAATTTCATGGAAATTTTACCTTAAATGGACATTTTTCTACTAATTATACATGTACTAAGAATTTGATCGCAATAAGATCAAATGTAACATTCGTTTTATAATATAATTTATTTCATGCTTTCCAGTGTTTTATTGAAATATATCAGATGATTATATTCCGATAAACCACTAGTGAAATTTATAAAATATAATTTTCACTGTAGCCGGACTATATCTGAATGCGGATGAAAAGAAAATCATAACTAAATAGAATAACAGGCAGAAATAAATGCCGTCATACGTCAAGTTTGTTTCTTTAGAAAAAGAAAATCGATGTCATCAAAAAATTATGTTAAAAATGTAGATCTAACAAAATTAGAGAAATTTAACAGAACTATATTACAAAATTGATGACGTGACGTCATGATATGATGACGTCACAAAGGAGAATGCGCGACGTTACGCAGCAAAATCAGTAATCAGATACTTAAAATCACTTAAAATGCATGAAATAAAAAGAAAATTTATTTGTTTTACAGATAAGATTGAAATATATTTCATTCGTGAACACCAGCTATTATATTTTCACTCGTGGCTACGCCACTCGTGAAAATATTACATCTGGTGTTCACTCAGTGAAATTATATTTCAATCTTACATGCAAAACAAACAAATATCCTCTATGTACTTGTATACGAAATATCAAGATGAAAATTGAAATCCTAAAAAAGTATCCTATGATAATTAATAATTTCACCAAATATTTGTTTATTAATTATGCCTTGATTACAGCGAAAATCAACCTTAATTTGTGCTTTGATATAAAATACTAACATGCCAACGATAAACAAAATCATTGATTTCCTGAAAACATTATCGTGTGGTAATCATGAGGACAGACGACGGACAACAGCATACCAACCCGAAAGTACGTCCCAAAGTTATTCGGGCGTATAAAAAGTATGTGGTGATATGATAAAGTAAAAGAAATATACTTACAGTTTTGTCATTAATGTTTCTTCGCTCTTTCATAAAAGCAACAATTCTTCCTCTGAATAAATATCCAGAGCACATTTAAAACATTTATTTCAAGAGAGCTCTGTCTCACATCTTCCTCACCTGTACGAAATTTTGGCACGGATTCTGGGCGGAATTGGCACGGAATTGACACGGAATCAGTGATTTCTGGGCGGACCAGGGGCGGAAACGCAAATTCCGTGTCATTCTGTCTCACAAGAAAAATATTTTGTTCACTTTTCTGGGCGGAAAACTAGACAAATTCCGGCTGGAATTTTATTTGGAGCAGAATTTATACTTAAACATTTCATCATGGACAGAATTTTCAACTTTGAAATTTTCTTGGGAAGGAATGGTCTTAACTATGGGCGGAATTCTATACTTAAACATTTTTCTTGAACAGAATTTCACATCACATATAAGATGTCTTAATCATAATTGTACTCTTGTTTTTGCACTTGCGGACAGTGAAATTTTACCAACTGTACTTATTATTTTTGTTGAAGCAATGATACTTGACCAATAATTACAGGTGTATTTTTAGAATAAATAGGTTTATTTTTTTTAGACATTAAAATAGGCCTTCTTTTTAGATATTATGGCAAATGATATATTATTTGTCAGACTAATTTAGCAAATCTTTTTTGTACTGAAAAACAACTGTAATAATCTTAGTGTAGAACTTGAAAACATTCACCTCCAAAATGCTTAAGTTTATAATATAAAGGTTTTTCATACAGCTTGTATGATAGTCATGTACTGTATTATGAATTTATGACATCATCTGAAAGCAACATTGAAATAAGAATGCTGTTTAAATTTGAATATACTGTAGAATATAGGACAGCCACAGGGCAAGATAGTGTGCTTGCCATTTTAAATTCTAAGAATTCTTAATAAAAAAAACAAAAACAGTGCATGAAATAATCTCATATATTATGCCCTTTTAATCTATATAAAATTTAAAAAAAAACAAAAACAGTGCATGAAATAATCTCATATATTATGCCCTTTTAATCTATATAAAATTGATCAACCAATATGCCCAATAATTGCTTTTATTTAGGTAAATAGTTTTATACTACAATTAATGTATATACACAGAGAGTTTACACTACACAGATCAGAGCTCTGATAAAACTCAACTGACCAGCAGTTTCCCACGGATCTATGCATGACTAATTTACTCAACTGGTCATTCCAACAGATCGGACTATTCCATTGAATTATTTTGGGGAGAGATAAACATTATAAATTTCATAAGCAGAATTTGTCTAGGACATTGCAGTTTTCTTTTGTACAAAAATTTGTAATGATTTTTAAATTCTATCTATATATATTTATTTGTTACTTGAATATATTTTTTTTACATTCAATGAATGAAAGTTAAGATGATGAGTAAATTAACCCTGTTTTACATAATGATTGACCTGTCCATGCAGTTATACAGTTGTGAATTTTGAATTCTAAGATATCTGGGTCAGCAAAAAGAGTGCAAATTACATAGGATGTATAGGATATTTTAACAGTTTTGGAGATATACTTTTGTTCAAGATCTCAAAGTGTTTTAGAATTTGTATGATAAATATTATTAGTGTGATAACTTGGGACAAGGAGATGTACAACATAATCAGGTAATTATAAACCTTTAGTTACATGAATGCAGAAACAGGTTTTATATCAAACTATCAATAGTAGCAAGAGGTCAATGTTGTTTTTATATTTTCAACTTCATCCATTTGTTGTTTTTTTCTTATAATTGTTTTAAATCTTTAATACTTGTATAATTTGTAAGATATAAATTATTCAATGATTCTATATAATGAATGTGTATATTGTATAATAAAAGCATGTAGTACTGATCTTTTTCATTTCCTGGAAATTAAACAAATTAAATCAATTTGATTAAATAGGAATAAATGGTACAAATTCAGAAGTTTTGTACAGTTGAACAGGGTCATCATAATCATTTATTATTTTACATGTATGTGTTCTGTTTCCAATGGAACAATCTAACATTACATTTTGCACTCATATTTGCAGGCTTGGACTTAAGTGCTGACTGTGAGATGCAAGGTGTTTCAATAAAGATGTGCAGTATTAATCCTGAAAAGGTATATTTTTAAATCTCAATACTTTCTATTCAACATCTTTTCTTGAAAAAATACATTAAACCAGTAATAAATAGTGTCACAAATAAAGCAGTTAATTTATTCTTATACAGAGCAATTCTTAAACACTTGTGCACTGAAATAAGATACTGTGTAAGCTTTAGTATTTTTGAATATGCAAAAGCAAAGTTAATATTTAATACTGTAGAAACATAAAATTTGATGTTATCAAAAAATATGAAATATAACTGCATATAATTATGCAATAAAACATAAATCATTACAACATTTTTGTTTTAATTTATTATAAATTTTATTATTAAAGGTGAGCGCAACCACAAGAAGTTCTAGGAAACACTGAGGCAGAGGACTTAAAACAGACATCAATTAAAGAAATAGTATTTAAATAACCAGAAACATTTGAAACAAATTTATCAGCAAAAAAATTGCAAAAAAAAAAGTGTTGGATTCTATGAAAACCAGTACCTACCAAAACCTTCAGCTTGAAAAAAAACTGTTTGTGATATAGTGAATGTAGGGTTATCTATTCTGTATTTGGACTAAAGGATATGTATTAAATTTTATGAAAGAAAATTTAATGTGATACATTATTGATAATTTTATCCCAAAAAATGTGATCATGTTAAACTCATAAAAATTCCGCCCCCATGAATTCTTTCCCAGAATTCCGCCCAGAATCTTTTTTGACAATTCCGCTCCGAAATTCCGCCCCAAGATTCCGCTTCAAAATTCCGCCCCAAGATTCCGCTTCTAAATTCCGCCCCAAGATTCCGCTCCAACTCATTTGCATATTTCGTCCCAATTCCGCCCAGAATCCGTCCCGTTTCCGCCTGGAATCCGGCCGGAATCCGTGCCAAAAGCAAATGGTTTAACACTTGTATATTTGGGGGAGAATTTCAATTTCTGGGCGGAATCTGCCATTGAATTCCGCCCCATTTCCGTGCAGAAAATTTCGTACAGGCTTATATGTGATAATAGCTTACTGAGAAAATAGAATCAACTTAGCTCAGTGAAATTGTTGTTGACATTAATGTTCCTGATGTTCTTATGTTCAAGTGAGGAAGTTGTGAATTGTAAACGTACATATTGTCAAACTTATAGAAGTCTTTAAAGGATGTGTAAGATAAAATTTATAAAGGTTACAAAAATTGTGCTATTGATTAGAGTTATCTAATTATACATACATACTATAACATACAGTATTTAACACAGTTGACAGAGATGGAGAAAAAAAACTACAGAAACATTCACTGTGTGGTCCAGACCGATAGGACATTTACTTTAGGATTGAAAAATGCTGCGTTCAAGCCAGGTATATTACTAATATTCTTTAAAGCTGCAGCATACCTCCGAGAAACGAGAGCCACCGCCGGGCGGGGCCAACGCTCGACTTTTAACTTTCTCTAGAAGCAAACAAAGAAATGTTTGAACAAAATCTTAACGTTTCCTTTTTATAAATTTAATCGGTCTGTCTTGTCACATTAGTTTTGTCTATATATTTTGTATATATAAATATACTAATTTATATATATCTATATAAATAGAAACACGCAATTCTATAAATAGAAAATTCTATAAATAGAAACACGCAAATCTATAAATAGAAAATTCTATAAATAGAAACACGTGGTGGTGACACGTGATGGTGGTTGTGACACGTGGTGGTGGTGACACGTGGTGATGGTGACACGTGGTGGTGGTGACACGTGGTGGTGGTGACACGTGGTTGTAGTGACACGTGGTGTTGTTGTTGTTGTTGATGATGATGATGATGATGATATATATATATATACATACACACACACACCAATAAATATCTATGGTCATTTAATGCACAAATCTGAGAAAATTCAGTAATTTAACCTTCAAGGTCAAGGTCATTAAAGAGCCCAAGTGTTTGATAAACAACAAGGTCTTGTCCTTAAGTATGTTCTGTTATAATATGAAGTTGATCCCTTCAATAATAGCAAAGTTACAGCCAGTTACAGCCAAAACAATGAAAATTTCAATAATTTGACCTTCAAAGTCAAGGTCATTAATGAGTAAAGGTCAAGGTCTGTCTGGTCATTTTTAAGGGTTATCTTTGAAGATTATTCTGTTCATGTTTGAAGACAATTCATTCAAAAAGAACAAAGTTACAGCCAATAATAGCCAAAAAAATGAAAATTTCAAAAATTTTACCTTCAAAGTCAAGGTCATTTATGAGTGAAGGTCAAGGTCTGTCTGGTCATTTTTAAGAGATATCCTTGAAGATTAATATATTAAAGTTTGAAGACAATCCATTCAAAAATAACAAAGTTACAGCCAATAATAGCAGGAACAAGCCAAATTTGGACTTTTAACCTTGAAGGCCAAGGTCATTTATGGATGAAGGTCAAGGTTAGTGTAGTCTACTGAAAGGTATTGTCCCAAGGGTTGTTGTGGCCAAGTATGAAGACAATACACCAAGAACTAAAAAAGTTATGATCCAGGTACACGTTTGCGGACGGCAACGGCAACGCCGCCGCGACTATCACAATACCTCTACTTTTTTTTCAAAAAAAAAAAGTCGAGCTAAAAATGTGCTCAGAATTGAAGAAAAGTAAAATATTAAAGTAAAAATATACATGTTATGTGCGATTAAATACCGATTTTGCAGTATTTATGGAACCTTTTGTTTGTATTTACAGTTCAAGTAAAGCTGGTCTTTTTTAGAAAAAAAAAACAGCAGTTTTTTATGACACTATATTCATAATGTAACTACTATAGCATGTAAAATTTTAAATATAACATATCTACTTTGTGCATTTTATATTTACATAGAAATTCACAGTGTAGCAATTATCATTATTATAAATTATCAAATTTGAGCATGGTATGTCTTTAAACCACTCTCGTGTCCTCTTCATAGAACTAACAGTTACTATAGTGCCATATGTTGATACATAGTCGTGACCGCAGAACATCTCGAATCCTTGATGGCAAGCAC